TATGTTAGTGGAAAGTTAAGTGGAAGAAAAAAAACTATAGTATAAATAGGTGCACGAACAAGCCAAGGATTGTTTGTGTCATACTGTTAATTAACTCTGTCCATTAACAGGGGGAACTCTGTTAATGGACAGAGTTCCCCCCAACTCTGTCCACTAACATAGTTGGGGGGGAGTGTGAACTGCAGCTGGACTCAGAGGATGCAGGCGATAACCTACAACTGTTGAATTGTAAAACCATTCTTACTCTCTGTATAATGAATATTTGTATCAGTTTCATGTTTGAATTGCATTCCTGACATAGCTTTTTGTTTTCCAGTTTGTAGAACTGCACATGTTCTACAAACATGTGCAGTTCTACAAATGGGCACTGATTGTTTAATGGGCTTAATAAAGCCCATTAAACAATGGGCTTAATAAAGCCCATTAAACAATCAGTGCCTTCGCCAGGACAAACATGCAAAAAGCCATAAAGTAAAGTCATCTGGATGATTGCAATAGCCATATAAGAACTAAGTATGAAGTCCTCCGATTCCTCCTGCCTTGGTAAATTGGCAATACAATTTAACAAGTTTCACTGAGCCACGCAAGACGGTCATAGTCCTCACAGTTTAGACTAATTAACACCATTGCAGTTGTGAGCTTCTAAACAGTCATGAGATGGCAAAGAGACAGACGACGAGAAAAAAACGACAAAGCTTTTAGGATAAGTACGAGCAGAGTGTAAATCAAAGACACTGTCATGGGTGAAAAAAAAAAAGAAGTGTGAGACTCCAGTTCATCGTCTCCCCTAGCTTATTAAATATGGATGAAACACATAAAGCAGCACAGCGCTGATGAGGTAGAGAGAAGGTTACATATCTGCTCTGTGAATCTGACAAGAGATTGATATCACAGCCCAAGACTGCGAGGGAGAAAGCTCCCCCAGCAGTCAATCACCGCAGCAACGCGGAGGGTAGTTTCTCAAAGTCGTGTCAGGTCCAAGTTTCACGGGAATGAACTCCTGCACGTAGCCGTTTATTTCCTTATTATCTTGTGAAGAACTCCTGTGATTATGGGGCAACTATGCGACACATCGATGACTCACAGCTTCCTGTCTTTAGCAGCCGAGAGGGGGGCTTTAAACAAAAGCTACGAAGGTGTTTTCCTCCCCCTAACTAGGACAAAACAGCTACGACCGCAGCGACAGCAATCCAGGTAAAGAGATACATGACAGAGATCTCACCAGATGAAGCATGTCATAGATGGAGTCTGCGGAGCGCTTTCTGTCCTTGCTCCACTTCAGGACGGACATTGCCCAGTGCCAGTACAGTCAGCGGCAGGTAAAGTGCCCGAGAGATAACCCCAGGTTTTTTTTTTTTTTTTTTTTTTTTTTTTAAAGTCAAGCCTACATCTCTTCGCCCCCTTTTGTCTTTCCCGTTTTAAAAAAGAAGGTGCTGTGGTCCTTGAGTGAAGCTGCACAGCCTCCTCCTCTCCGCCCACCAGCACTTACAGCCTTCCAGCTCCCCCTCTTTTGCGCCTTCACAGTCTGCTGTAGCTCTGTCACTAATATTCTCCTGTTTTCTCTCTCTGTCTTTCTCTCTCCTTTACAGGCTGGCTAAACTCGGGCACATGGAGTGAGTGTGAGGATCTGTCCAGCTTTGACAACATTGCAAATGAGTTTTAATAATCCCTGTGACTGAACCCAGAGCAGTGCAGGAGGAAAGGAGCCTCCTCCTCGAAGGTTGCAGTGCAGCAGGATTGGCTGGGTGAGCAACACAGCAGTAGAATATAAATGTAGGGTTTGATGAAGAGGAGGGGGGTGAAGGGAGCTGCAAACAAGCAGGCTTTGCAGGAACAAAACAGATAACGGGGAATTTTATATATAAACTCTTATAAATTAAATGAAATAGAAGCTTAAGTAGGCTATATACTCCTATTACAATGATGACTTCTACATGTGCTTGTAAAATTTGGTTACCAGATAATTTGATCATAAAAGCAAGTAACACTAATAATAGGTCAGAGAGAAGACACTTCATTTTGTGTAAGCCTTAAGAGGATTCACTGCATCAGGACTGCTGCAAGTTCAGTACGTGGAAATGGAAAAACTGCAATTGATACTCAGGAAACGTGAATTGGTGAACATAATAAAACAAACAGTGCCTCACAAAAAGGTTCATATACTGCAGAATTGTATGTGATAGACCAACACAAAGGAGTTATGAAAAACATGTGGTCTGAAGACTTTTGAGAAATAAAAATCGAGAAGTGTGAATTTCTGTACGACCCTCACTGCGTCTCTTGGTCCTGATGGTGCCGTTTTGTTCTAACAAACCATGAAGTTTCACAGAACAGCTGAATTTATAGTGAGATCATAGCAAACAGCTCGCCTCTACTGATTGGATCACTTCTGTAGATCTTCATCGGGGTATCAGAGAAAAGAGCTTACATATATCTTATAGATTTTTATTTGGGGGGAAAAAAAAAGTTTTTCGTTCTGTTTCACAATTAGGTTTGTCATGCTAAAACACTTTGCTGTACGATAAGTAATTTTAATAATTAATGCAATAAACAATAATTGTTTTGAGACTATTCTCAAGTAATATATTGATAATGGCATAACCCTGCAAGCTCACCCCCTCAAAGACCAATAAACATGAATTTAGTAAAGAACACTTAACACTGGAACTGGGAGATATTTTAAATGTGCAAAATAAAAAAATAAAATAAATAAAACTGAAATAGTACCAAACCATAAATATGAATCTCTGAAAGCAAAATTGCCCTTCAAAAAAATATTAATCATCATAATTGAAATTATCAAGCTCATTTTAATTCATAATCCAATGAGTAATTTCTTATCGTAGCAGTTTATTCACAATTATATGCTACTTTTTGTTGGTCCGTCGCAATCCCATCCCAACAATCCCAATAAAACAGTTTTTGTAAACACAATGTAAAAAAGTCAGGGGGTGTGAATACTTTTGCAATGAACTGTACACTGTGTTTAGTCATCAAGAAAATAAACATCTTGCAGAAGCATAAATATGCTAAGCATAACCTTATTTGGATTAAGAAGATCAGACGATGCTGTCTACACAGAGACTTAATCAGGTCGTAAACTGGTGTGATGACTGATTAGAAATGTTGCAATCAACGAAAAGACACTTGGGAAACCTTTTAAAGTCGGTTACGAAGAGAAGATTAGAGATCGGTGTCTTAATTAAGCCATATTTCTCCATCAGCATGGAAAAAATGTTACCATCAGCCAAAAGCAAATTAATGACAATGTTACTTCTTCATCTTGACAGTTATGCTCTTCTGCAAATTGTCCCTTGATGAATGAGCCTCATTCATCCTAATGGCTAGTAACTGTGCATGATAAAGACATTAGAACTTAAGCTTAATAAAGACAAATATCACCAGCATGTTTCATTCAAAAAGCTTTAAGTTTATGTACTTTTGTTGAGGCATCTTTAATATTGAGCTGTTATTAATGTTATGTTGTCAGAGGCTGCTATATTCCTTTACAGCAGTCGTCAAAAGGAGGCGCGATACAAACTTGCACTTAACAGCAGCACCCATAAGTGAATGTGAACAAAAACTGCAGAGCTTTCGTAAAGTGCTGAAATGAGCCAGTAACAGGTGGTGACTCAAACTGTGCTGCAGCAAATGTTCATAAGAGTTTTTTTTTTTTTTTTTTCCCAAAACAACAAAAAGCTGAGAAGGGTTGCTGTGAAGGACAAGCAGGAAGCATCAAAACAAGACGTGCTGTCACGTGTTTGCTGCAGTCTTACCTTTCCGCACTCGTCAAATTCGCTAAAGATCTCCGAATCATCATCCAGGCTGTCTCCGGAGCGCTCCAGCAGCAGTCCCACACCATCGTCCAGAATCTCCTCTGCATCGAAGCAAAACACAAACACAAGCTCTTTTTGTTTCCTGTTAAAGCATTTCACTATTTTGCCATGTAAGAATGATATTTCTAAAGCCATGGTTGTTTAAAGCTAAAAGTCTAAAATGTGCCACCTGTCATTTCTCTAATTTATCTACTAGAACTGTTTCGGGACACATTCCGTGTCCTCCCAATATTTCCATACATTTTGCAATTAAAATGTCTCGTCACCCGTGAAAGTGAACAGCTATTCAAAAGCTGTTAGAAATACTGGGAACATGAATTAACTTTGGACAAATTTAGTACATTTGACAACTAAGCATCTGTTCATGTAGGTGAACATCATGCATCGCCGGCTGTCTTTGAGAAGCCATTACAGCCACCAACTCTTCCTGAAAACATGTTTATTTATAGTTGTGTTTGTTTATGGCTCATTTCCCTTTGGTTTAGTTACACGTACATTATTTACAGTATTTTTGTTGAAATAATAATTATGTTAAAGTCAACTTAGCTCTGTAAGCCCCAGTGTTTTCATATATCATATCATATCAAGTTTTAAATCATATGGAACCATTAATGTGCTTGTTGCATAGAAAGTATGAATGCAACTGCAATGAAAACCTTTTAAATGTCGGGGGGGGGGGAACAAAACAATTTAAAACTTTTTAAATGTCTAAAGATAATTTAAATTAATTTCTGATGGAGTTCATGCATGACGGGGTTAACAAAGTTTTGTTTATTTTCCGTAATTTTATTCTTTCTTATCTGACTTATATGTACGTTTATATGTACAAATGTGTTTTAACATTGCAGGGGAAGCTATTTTCACTGCTACATTTGCTCAAGAGGCTTTACTTAAAAGTACTTTTTACCTTGACTTTGGGAGAAGATGTCAGTGTAGAGGTCTTCTGCCGCATCAGAGCGCCGCGGTGGAAGGTAGCACAGCTGACGGCGGTCCACTGAGGGCAGAGTGTTGACCGTCAAAGCCAGAGACACTTGGGAGAATGCAGCCTTCATGTCTGAGAAATTCAGACTGTGGGAGTCTTTCCCATTCAGCTGGAGAATTTCATCGCCGGCATTCAGACCTGTTAAAAACGTAAGAACAAGATTCACTTCATGTTATTCCCCTTTAAGTTATTCATGCAAGAGTTAAACGTTTTTAACTGTCTGCAGTGACAGATAGAAATATAGGATGTCCAGTATTTCCAGGAATGTCTAACAAAATCAATAAAAGTAGGAGTTCGTTGAACTTTTACATTCCTTGACATTTTATATGCAAACCATTTACTTTTCTTGAGTTTTAGCTGTAGTTGGAATCATCTGTCTTAGAAATGAAATGGACAGTTTGGAAAAACTGAACATATGACAACATAAAACAGGTCAATAAAAACTCTCTTTTTGTCACTTAAACCAGGCCCAGATAAAAATCCACATGAGCAATCTGACACCCTACGTTAAAAGTGTCTAGAGGCAAAAGAACTGCCAAAGAGCGATGTGCCAAATCCAAGATAAAGGACATGAATGGATCATAAATCATTCATAAATAACTTTTCTGGATTTTATTCTTTGACATTTGAGTAAGAAATAGAGTCTAGAAACCGACCAGAACTGAAGAAATCAAATCTTTCCCCGACTTTTCAAGATCGCCTAAAACCCCCATTTATCCTCATTTATGCAGTAACATTGGCTAAGTTACAAGTTCATCACTAAACTGCATGAATATGAAAACAGTAATTAAAAACTATGTAAATAAAAATTCATAAGTGCAGTGAAACATCGAATGCATTTTTTTTTTTTTTTACTGCTCTTTGCCATCTTTGTAACAAATTAACTGCAGCAGAAGATGGCTATCCTATGAGACACAAACCTTTGGCAAAGGCTAACCCCCCGGCCTTCACATCAGTGATGTAAAGCTGCTGTACTCCATCTTCTTCCACCACTGAGATGGAAAAACCTGACGGACAAAAAGGGAAAGCCAGAAGGGTTAAAACAGGAACACGACTCGTGTCAGGGTTAAACATGATCATTTCTTTCTGATCAAAACAAAAGTGAAAAATCTGAAATTTTCATTATAAAACAAAAACTGCTCTCACCATAACCAATCATACAGGATTCATCTCTGTCAAACTGGATGACTTTAGTTATTTTGGAGCAGAGTTCGATTTCTTTGTACAGCTGTGAAGAACAAAAAGCAGTTATTATATAAATCCTGAAGCTCTGTCTAACTTTAGCCATAGTGTGGTGGGCGGGTTATCGACAGCAGAAAAATAGAGCATTCATTTTCTTCCTTCTCACACAAAGCAGCACTAACAATATCTTGACAGGGATGATGTAAATACAAGAATGTATCAGTTTATTGTAAAAAAAAAAAAAAAAAAGGTCTCCATATTCATGTTTTGGAGCATGATCTCCCAATGATTCTCTTTTTTTTATGAATGAAGTATTTTGCCTTTGTGAGTCCTCATATAGCTGAAGCACTTTAAGGTTAATTTTATTAAGTTTGACTTTATGAAGGCTTTTGGGATGTAAAGAAAAAAGATAATTCCCAATCAGACATTTAAATATACCAAGTCATAGATGTCCTCTTCTGGCTTGGGAATGTAGAATTGCGTTTGGTTTTCCATAAAGAACTTAAGTCGCAAGTAGTGTTTGGTTGGGTCAAGCTCATGGGTCTGCAAATTCAAAAACAAGTTGTTTAAATACCAAAGTAATTGTTTTCCCCTCATATTCTCATAACAGCACATGCATACAGATCCTTGCAGAGAGCAGACTCAGCATAAAAAGATACACGGTCAAAGTGATATTTAAGGCATAGTTCTGATACCTTGCATATAGACTCCAGAACACACAGTGCAGACTCTCCTGGCTGGATGGTGGTTAAAACAGGCTGGTCATTTGGCAGACAAACCCAGGAGGGAGTGAGGTTTTCAGGAGCCCACATGTCGCTGTCGGTGTTTGGTCGAGCAAGGTTTTTCACAGTTCCGTCTTCTGTTTTCTGACAACACGGATATTAGAAGGCTGGTAAATTACAGTCCTTTAATTAACTGCCGTCCTTTAATTTCATCATCTAAGGTAGAACCTCGCTTCCACTCTTCTCCTAAATAATTATTTTTACTCAAGAGTTCACCGATTTAATTTCGGTAGTTATTTATCATATGCGGGAGGCATTCGTGAAGTAGAATGACGTCAAGAATTAAGTTTATTTCAGGAACTCGGTTTGAAAACTGGATGAATGAAACTGATTCTTTCATTGATTCCTTCATGTGAATTTAGGTGATTATGAGCAAAACTTAAATCTTGAAAAAATAGCATATAACTTAAGCCTAATATCAGTGGTTGAAAAAAACTAGAAAATTAGTGGTACCAACCAGGACGCCCTGATTATAAACATTAGAATGTTACAAATAATCTGCCAGTGAAACAAGTACTTCTTCACCAATGTGAAGGAATTATTTATTTAAAACAACTTTTAGCCTGCTGAAAAGTTTGCATAGAATGAAGTAAAGGATGTCTGAACTATTCTTTACAGACTAATTCGTGTTAACAGAGAGCGAAAGCTTACTGTGTTTTCTTTCACAGAATCAACAAATATGCGATCTGCTGGTTTTTTCTCCGGCTCTTCACCATCAGCAAACACCTGCAAGGCCAAAAAGAAAGAGGTGTAGTGTTACCTCAGGCAGAATAGTGAAGGGCTGTTTTTAAACAAAAGGGCAAAGGGGAAAAAAGATCTGTGCGGATAACTCTGCCGTGCCGGTACCTTGAGATTTGAACATATCTATTCAAGAATGTAGGACCACACAGACCTGGCTAACCGTAGGGTGGGCTTTTGTTTTCTTCTTGGAGGTTGTGTCTACACCCCAGAGGGAGGAAAACCTGCTTTTGCGCTTGCTGCAGGAATGAGACATGGCTTGCGTTCTGCGTCTCACTCCAGTCTCTGTGCGAGCTGCCACCTGCAAAAACACGAATAAAAAAAATAAAAATAAAATAAAAATCATGTTCTATGAAATCTTCGCGACAAGACACTAACACATATTTTGAAGATTTGTCAGAAGATATTTAACTCACAAGCATCTAACTGCAGTACACACACATCTAAAGCTTTTAAATAGACTCATCCTCGTACACATGCTTGCATGCTTGTGAATGTAGGGATAGGCAAGTGAGACAAATAAAACAGCAAGCCAACTCTTCAAATCACAAACTGCTACCAAACAGCCTGAACACCCACCTGCCCTAGAACGCTGCGTTGGTGGTTGCAGAAGAAAAATAGCACCTGAGCGAAGTCTAAAAATCAAATTGACGTTTCTTTCTGCAACAGTTCGTTTTGTATTTGGAGTGCATGACCCCGCTGTAGCCGTAGGAGGCTGGCACACAACTAAAGCCCATCAAATGGTGACCCCTGGTAAACTCAAGCAACTAAATAGCCATCTTGGCATAAAGAAATATTATTTGAGGCTATTTTTTTTTGTGCCAGGTGAGTCATCAAGTTAACTCTGTGCTGCCAAAATATACTATGAAGGAAACCGTGCCAATGCTTTCTCAAAAAAAACATCCTCCAAACTGGAAAATGGAATTTTCAACAATATTACTGTTGAATATTACAATGAAAATATTGGTTGTGATTAACCAACATTTTGTACCATGAAGTATCATGATGTACTTTGATCAGGTTTACCCATGAAAACGCAAATCATCCTTCCAACTGGCCAATAACGCAAACTGGTAAACAACAGTTTGAATAGATGACATTTGCTATGTTTCAGTTTATCCAAACAGTCATTTACAGATTACAGATTTGCATGTACACATGTAGTAAGATCATATATTATGGTTAACTAAATTTAGAATGAAATATAACGAGGGTAACTACCAGTGCATGAAAGGAGGAGACTGAGAATATTCCCAGTCTGCCCATGGTCAGCTTGGTGGGGCGGGAGGCAAAGGCCAGGAGGCGTTTAGGGTTGGGCAGCTCTCCTCCTTGCAAGCTGGCCAGGTAGCACCGAAAGCGAAACAGATCCATGTGGAACTGCTCCAGGTTCTGCTCCCACAAGAAGATCTGAGGGTCGAAAGAGACACAACAACCCATATATTTAATTATTTGTCAACATTAATTTACTCAAAGCTATCTGCACTTTCTGGGCCAAACAGTTAAATGTTTACTGGGCCAGTAGAGCGGGAGATTGTGATTATTCACTGGGCCGTCTCCTCCCAGTCACGGTTCTGAGCTGGTGTTTGGAAAAGGTCTCTGACATCGCCATTGCCATTGGAGAAAGTTCTGTTTTACTGCCAAGTAACCCAGAGATGGAGCAACAATGCTGCACATTCCACTGGCAGATAGAAGCAGGAAGAGTTTCAGTTTTTTTTAAAGAACCCAGTCCTGTAGCCATTCAGCTCTGCAAACTTCCCAACCTGACGCTGCCAAGCAGAGCAGCTCCAACCAGGCAGTTCCTAACCGACCGAACAAAGGCCATTTGATGTCCCCTCTCTGTAAGCAATCCTATTAGACACAATGTGAGCTTCTCAATTATTGGAGAATGGGGCTCTGTTCAGCAGTGCCAACAGCATACCAAGTTCAGAAAAAGTATGTGCGCAGCACCACCAGGTGTTCAGACAATAACGCTGGAAAATGTTTTAGCTCGTCTCCACGTGTAACTCTTCTTCTCTGCCCCACTCTTTTTTTGTCATGATAAATCTCTCCAGCACTGATAGTGAAACCAAAAACATTCAAATTGATAATGCACTCTCTTCCTCTTCTCTTACTTTAGCTTAAATGCATTAGCAATTAGAAATGTCCCCCAGCACGTTGTTACTTGGAAACTTTAACATTCACAATCAAGATACTTATAAAAATTTTGAGAACTACCATTTATTTGTCGTAATTTCATTATCACTGATGGACCCATTGAAGATGTAAAACACTGTTTACTCAGAAGAGTTTCATTAATGAGGTGGAGCATTATATAAACCTAATTATAACCTAGAAATTTTAGCACCGTTTTTAGTCAACATACATTAACATCAATAAAATAAACCTGTTCTACTTTTAGATATTTCAAAAGCAATATAAGTGAGTCAAAGCATATTTTGCATTTTTAATAATGAGCCTGTTAATTTGGATGTATTGCAACTCTAACACTGAGTTTAACTCAGTTAAAGCCAAATGATAGCATGGTAAATATAAAGTTAGCTCTTTTGGAAACACTTGTTTCACATGGAAAATAACAAAAAGGGGGTAAATTTCATTGTTCCATACTTTAAAT